TTTTTGCTTTTACCAGCTTGGAATTTGTTCACCTCTGTGACAGGTTCAGGAGAGTCCTTCCAAAAATTGGGCACAGCTAGGTGACTGCCACTGGCACCCACCTCTGTGCCCACCCCACAGCTACCACCCATGCATGAATGCCTCTATCCAGGAACTGGGCCTTATGCTATGCAGGACATGAATCCTGGGTCTCTGGATTTTTATTTACTTAATAAAAAAAGATTTTTTAATTGAAGTCAATAAAGAAGAGGCTAAAATGGTCACTTTTCTTGTACTGTTACATTAAAATGATTTTTTAAAAACAGTTATGTCGCCCAGGCTGGCCTTGAACTCCTAGGCTCAAATGATCCTCCCCACTTCAGCCTCCTGAGTAGCTAGGACTATAGGCACATGCCACTATGCCTGGCTTTGAACTGCAGCATTAAAACATACACATACGGCCGGGCGCGGTGGCTCAAGCCTGTAATCCCAGCACTTTGGGAGGCCGAGGCGGGTGGATCACGAGGTCAGGAGATCGAGACCATCCTGGCTAACATGGTGAAACCCCGTCTCTACTAAAAATACAAAAAACTAGCCGGGCGTGGTGGCGGGCGCCTGTAGTCCCAGCTACTCGGAAGCTGAGGCAGGAGAATGGCGTGAACCTGGGAGGCGGAGCTTGCAGTGAGCCGAGATCGCGCCACTGCACTCCAGTCTGGGTGACACAGCGCGAGACTCCGTCTCAAAAAAAAAAAAAAAAAAAAAAAAAAAAAAAAACATACACATACTCTCTCTCTCTCTCTCTCTTTCTCTCCGAGGAACACGTGCCAGTAAAGGAATTCGTAAAAGCAGAAAGGAAGAAGAAAAATCACTCAGAATCTATTCATCCAGCACAACTAATGGTACCATCTGGGGGCATTGCCTTCCAGCTCTTTTTCATTGGTACTAGTTATAAAAAGTAGTCCCAAAGAGCAATGTCCCCTGCTTGTCCACATACCACACTCCTCCAGAGGCTGATGAGGAAAAGGGCAACTCTGTTGTTGAACATTTACTCTTGGGTTACTGTTGGTCAATGGGGAACGGCTGGAAGTCTAGCTAGCTCAAACACACAGATGTGCTGCCTTGAAACCCAGCAGTCTACCTGGAATTAAACTTCATCCTTGGCCTTCTGTGAGAGGCGTTGAACTTTATTTGTCTTTTAGTATCTACGATTTGGCAAACTGTTCTATGCAAGGTTGGTGCTGAGCCCAGAACTCTGGTTTTAAGGGGAGCAGAGTGTTCCCGGCACTGGGAGCTGGGGTCGGTGTGTTTTCTAGAAGAGCCGCTGTCAATTTCAAGGTCCCAGAAGATAGGCCTGGTGTGTTTGATCATTTCCTCCAAATCCTTGACTACTTGATGTCAAGCCTCACCTCTTATGAGAGGCAGAAGTTGTACTTGACAATGACAGGCTTCCCCTTGTCCCACAGGAAGGAAAAACTCAGCCCTATGGAAGACTGCCCAAGTGCTCAACTGCTTCTCTGACTTGAGCTGAGGTCAATGGCAGAGTGGGAGGGGGTTCAGCAATGTTCAGGGGTTTTGAATGACCAGTGGCTGGCACTAGAACTGGGGATTGGGACTGCAATTGTAGCTTACAAGCAGCCTCCCTATCCCTGCAGCCCCCTGGGGGGAGTGCGGAAGAGGGGCTCAAGAGATCTCTGGTGCATGCTAAATTTCAAGGGTACGCAGAAAACTGGGACATTGGCTTAGAGGGGGAGGCACTTGGGGTTTGCTGTTTGTAAACGTTCGGAGTATGCTTTTTGAGAAGAGAGTGCATTTAACCATGCCTGGGAGATGGGCATAGGAGGACCTTGTCTTCATTTCCTGGCCGGCTCTTAGGAGGTTTGTCCCCTTGCCCATAAGTATGTACATGTGGATAGGAGGCTGCTCACACGGCTTTTGAGGGTTCTCAAGTATGAATTAAAAAAAGAAGAAAAATGTGTGCTTTGAATTAGATCTATGTGAAAAAAAAAAAAAAGGCAGCAAGCTAAGCCATGCGTCTGAGACACTGGCTGGCCTCCAGGATTTCAGGAGAGTTGGGTTTCAGCATGCACAGAGAGAAAGTGCTCCATTTCTCAAACCTGGATTTCCTTGTCTGTTTTCCCCTATAGATACAAATCTGAGCCCTTGAATGGCCTTTCTGAGCGAGGAAAGCATATATAGCATTGCTCAGATTGAGAAATAGTTCAGATCCAAATATTACCATAGGTTTGGCTCCTTCAAGAATTCTTCCATTGCTTTGGACCAATAAATATTTAAAAAGTTAGGTTCTGAGCTCCAGAAAAGCCAACAAAAACATTTAAACATATGGATGTTTTTTAAAAATTGTGGTGAAACCACGTTCAGAGGAGATTAGTTTGCAGCAGTCTTTTCTTTCTTTGTCTCCCATTCCCGCCCCCCACCCCCCCATCATTTTCTTTCTTTTAGGAAGCCAGAAGGGTAAACATGTTGCCATGGAGTTCTGTTTAAAATAAAATACAATGGAAAGAAAAGCAGCATGATGAAGTAACCACATGGACTGCAGGATACACCTGATACTAATTACTGTCATGCAGAATGTTCTGGAAGACATTTGACTCGCCTGATGTATACATTCAAATCAAGCAAAGTAGGACTGGAAGACTCCTTGGGGACCATCTTGTCCAAGTCTTTCCTTTTTCCAGATGAGGAAGTAGGGGCCCAGCGAGAGGGAGGGCCTGGACCTCAGCCTTCCAGCGCGGAAGGAGAAGAGCCGGGATTCAAACCCGTGGTGCTTTGTAGGAAACCCATAATTTCCACGGTCTTTTTCCTTCAGCTGTCAGTAAAGCCCTGAAATAGAAGAGTGGGGTTTACTGTGAACCTCGAAGGAGTAGGCTCAAGAGCCAGAGGGCCCAGAATAGGGCAGGGCTGGCTTCTCACTGGGAGGCTCAACTTCCCGCAGGGGCGCCGGGCCTCGAGGGGAGAGACTGGATATTGGGCGTCTGGAAGTTTCTCCTTCTAGGGGCTCCAGGAGCAATCCAACAGAGGCCTGGGGCTCCCACCAGAACGTCAACTCATGTCCTTTTGGGGCTGCAGGGCTGACGCAGGCTGGCACTGTGTCTACGACAGCCCTCCGGGCCCCCGGGTGCGTGACTGCGGATGCTCTCTGGCGGCCACCACAGTTCCCACGCGCAGAGGGTGAATGCGAGCCCCTTGTCAATACGCGCCCCTCGCCTCTGCCCCCGAGAGGCTAGCAACCGGGCCTGCCGGCGTTTGATTGGCCGTGGGGGCTTGACGACAGGGGCTCCTGGCTGCTGATTGGCCCCGGCCAGCTCTGGCTGTTTCCTAGCTATTAATACTGTGGCTAATAAACGTTCTCCTGTTGACGCGGGTGCTCGGAGCCATGATTTTTTGAAGCGTTCTTGACATCTGTGGCTGATGCGGGCGTTTCTGCTGTGCAAGGCCTGCTTCCGGGGCTCTAGTCCCTGGGGTTCCTGGCAAGCTCCACAGGCTGAAAGGGGGGTGTTTTCTTTCTCCCTCTTGTTACCTGACATATTAAAGCAGCGCCCCACGAGGACCCCAACGTCCCACGTCTCTATCTCCCCAACAGTGCGCCTGTTTGTGCAAAAACGAGCCCCCTGCTCGCCCTCCCAAGGCTCAGTGTCTCTAGTGACCTGACGGTCAATGTTCACTTCCCTAGTCATTAACTGTGGACGTAGAAATAGCCTTTCTCCCTTCTGTTCAGCCCCGGAAGCTCCCGTCTGATTTACAGTCACCTCGTGGGATCGTTGGGCATGGGGGGCTCCCTCTGACGCCACTTGAGCCCCCCAAAGAAGTGCGGGGGAGCGGTTCTGACTTGATGCCCTCTGTGGGGCCTCTCTGCTGTCCTCTTTGGGGCCCCTTGCTCATCCTCACCCGCTTTCTGTCACCGGGCACTCCATCCTTGTCCTCCCGGCTGCCACCCACCTGTCACCCTAAGATAGATCCTCGGTCCTTTTCAACAGCATTTTGACCTTTGCGAGAGGACATTTGATTGACGGCCCTGCACGCTCTGCCACTCAGAGCCGGGCAGAGCTGCCGAGGGCTCCCACCTGTTAGGGATTAACTCTCATGTGCCAGCCCCGGAGCCGAGGCCGCTGCGGGGCTCGGCGCAACATGTGTCGCTGCCTGTTTTTCGGGGCGGTGGTGGCGGTGGGGCTCTTCCAAAGGGCATGTGTGTGGGGATCACCCCAACTTTGAGGAGTAGCCCAGGCATCTCCACATGGGACACAGTCCGCCCTCTAAAAGTACTTTCCTTAGAGGGCACGACTCCTGTCTGGATTCTTATTACAACCCTGGTGTGTGTGTAGGGGGGTACCCCTCGTTAAGGTGGAGGAAACGGACCCCGTGGAAGAGGAAGGGGCATAGCGGGTTCCGTGAACATGAGTTGTAAGCGGCAGAGCCGGGGACTCACAGCCAGGTTTTTCTGACTCGGAGACGCGGAGCTCTGTCTCCGGTGTCAAAGAGAACCAGTCAGAAACGCACGGGTGGGCTGGGAGGGGGTGACAGCCTCCGGCTTACATCTGGAAATCAGTTATGTCGCCCGGGCGTTTTATTTTCCTGAACAATAAGAGAAAGCATAATTTTCTTTCGCTAAGCCCGCATCCTCCGATGGATGTTCCGAAACCGCCAGGTGTGGAATCTGGGCCCCGACAGCCCCACCTTGGCCCTCGGCCGCCTGAGGACGGCCAGCCCTCGGGACCATTCCCCCCACACATTGTGCCCGAATTCACCCTGCCTGGCGAGTCGAGCTCACGCAGGGAAAAAGCACCCGTGACCACAGGGTGTTGGTCATGGCGGCCAGGGGCACTGCGGCAGAATTTTTTCCTCCCTTCTTTGCTGCAATCTGGGTGCGGCTAGAGCAATTTGTCATAGAATCTGGGGGGCTCATTTTTCCGGCCAATCACTTTTAGAGAAATGAGCGCATTGCAGCAGAATGCGCTGACGTCAGAGACCACCCCTTCTGCGCCTCCATATAAACCCCACCCAGCCAGCCCCTAGCGCAGACGGCGGAGAGCGGACAGGGAGCGCGCCTTGGCTTGCTGGCCTTGGCTGCGGCTCCTCGGGAGAGCTGGGGCGCCCACGAGAGGATCCCTCACCTGGTGAGTGGTTGGCCATCCTTGCCGCAAAGGATGTGCCAAAGGAAGACGGCATCCCCTTCTGGGATGGGCTCTGTCCTCCTGGACACGCCGAGAGCCTGATCCCGGGTCCTACTGCTGGAGGCGGCCACTTCGCCTGGTCCCCGAGTGTCCGCAACAAAATTTTCAGAAGGAAAATCTTGAGGCACATTTCCCTGGGGGAAAGTCAGGGCTCCTCTCTGGGGGGTCTAGTCCTTGAGGGTGGGCTGGGTGGCAGGGACTTCAGAGGAGCGGGAGGAATCAGACGGAACCCCTCTTGGATTCGGGTGTGTGGCAGTCACTGGGGGGCGAACCCCGGATTTCCTGTATTGGAAGCCGCCTCTAGAATCGCGTTAATAGTGGGAGATATGGCGGCGATGCCTTCTGCATGCCCCATGAATTAGGGGGGGCAGCACCCGAATAGAAGGGTCTCCCGGGCATATTTGCCTTGCCAGCTGTTGGCCAGGTTTTTGGTGGATCGTGGGCGGGAGGAGTGGAGGTTCCTCTTCACGAGGTTTTCCGAATCCAAATACACAGGTTCAGTGCAGTGTGGACCCCAGGCAAAATGTAGAGTAAAATTTCCACCCGATATCATCTGGTTCTGTCCTGATCAGCCACTTTCACAGTGGAGAGAGATGGCGCCCAAGTGCAAACCTGCCAGTAGCCCCCTAGGATCAGTCCCTGCGGAAAGGGGTCGTGGGATTGGGGACAGAGGCAGAATAGATGCAGGGGGTGGGTTGGGGCAGAGAGACGGCCGTATCCTTGGGTCTGGGAAGAGGGAGGAGAGAAATGAAGAAAAGAGGTGTGTTGCTGGGGTCTGGATGCTGGGAGCTGGGGTTGGGGGGCCGCGGGGGTCTTCAGAGCGTTACATGGTGGTCACTCGAAAATCCTGACATGTTGCAGGCTTGGACTTTTGGTCAAGTTGCCTTTTGCCATTTCCTTTGTCCGAGTCAAGCCCCCCCAGGACGCCCCCTCCCACCCTTGGGCCGGCGGGCCTGGTGGGGGCGCAGGCGGGTGGCTACGTGGCAGGTTTCTGGAAGGTTTCCTGGCTGGCCGCGAGAGGGCGCTGGCGGCACTGCGGAATTTTGGGGGGCGGGGTGGGGAGGGGAGGTGGCCTTTGTTCTCCTGATGGAGGGGGTCGGGCGCGGGATCCACTGGAGGATCCTGGATTCATTTACCCAAGAGGGAACAGTTTCGAGACCCCCGGATTCACTGCGGAGCGGCCGCAGAGGCTGGGGTCGGCCTTGGCGCCGTGGCTTCGGGTGTCGTGGAGGCGCACAGAGGCACGTTAGTTGATTTCCAGTGGTTTTTTATTTCGGGGGTCTTAGGAAAGTGTGGCTTATTTGAGCAGGATGGAGAGAGAGGCAGTGACAAGGTCAGTGAGGCGCCATCAGCGGGGTCTGGAAATTGTTGCTGTGGCGAAGGAGGGAGGCACGACTTTTAGGGGCGCGATGTCGACGCCTGGGGGCGAAGGCGGGGAGCGGCAGGGTGGCCCCCTTTGCGTTACTTTCCAGCGATGTCACAGGTTCTGTCTCTCGTTCCGAGACCACCCACATGCGTGACAGCGGTGTCTGGAGGACTGGGTCTTTCTGACTTTAGTGAACGTGTGTTTAATTAATTGGATTGCCGAAGGTGGGAGTTGGGATTTCTGCGTTTCCCTGTAGCAGGCGGAGCGGCGCTCCAGAGGGGCCTGGCGCGGGTCTGCTGCGTGCCCCACGTTCCTTCGGGGCTGGGGCCGGGTGACTGGGGGCGCAGGAGGCTCCTGGTGCGGGCGGGAGGCGCTGCGCCGCGGCCACAGGTGGGCTCTGGCTGGTGGTGACTGGAGAGGTGTCGAGGGGGCGTAGCGACCTGGCGCGGTGGCCTGGGGTGGGCTGTGGAGCCTTTCCTAGCCTGAGACCTGCTGGGCACCCCCTGTCCATCCAGGCCCGCCGGCGCGGGCGGGGGCGCCGCAGGTGGCTGCGCTCCTGGGTTACGGGTGCGGGCCGCGCGCCCCCTAGCGGTGTGTGCCTGCCACGCTAACTTGGGTTTTGAGTTGCGCACGCGCACACAGCTAACACTTGTGACTTGTCAATCAAATCATCCTTACCCCCTCCCACTCCTCTCCTCCACCTCCCATTTCTCCTCTACCTCCACCCTTTCTCATTTCCTCATCCCTCCTCCCCCTCCTATTTTTCCTCACCCTCCTCCCTCTTTCATCGTTCCTCTTCCCTCCTCCCCCTTCCCCCCTCATTTTCCTTATCTCTCTTTTCCCCTCCCCTTCCCTCCTCCCCTCTCCCTGACCCCCCTGCTTCCTCCCTCCATACCCCTCCCTCTTCCCTCCCAGCCCCTCCGTAAGCCTTCCTCACTCCTCCCCTTTGCCACTCCTCCCTGCCTTTCCCTCCGCCTGCCCCCTTTGGCTCTCTGCTGTTCCGGTGCTGGCCATTAGAGGTCACGAAGATGGTTTCTAACCTGCCGCCCTCCCATGCCATAGGGTCTCTCCTCAGGGATGACATCATACGTCCACCTCCTTGTCTTCAAGGACCACCTCCTCTTCATGCCGAGCTGCTACCAAGGGGCCTGCTGCCCATCTACGCCTTACGGTACCTCAACCCACCTGCTATCGTTTCATATTCAACATGCCGGGTAGAATCTCCCAACCCCACCACTGTCCTTGCACCACCCCCAGACCCACTAGCAATTAAAAGACAATTTTAAATTTTTAACTAATCAGCTTTAATTGTAATTAATTAACTTAAACTGTAATTATGATCTAGGCTTGGGCTTTTAAGCAGGTTCTCTAACCTTTGATCAATTGCAGAGGGCACTAGGAGCACGGATTCCTGGATCCCACCAGCATACAAAGCAGCCACTGACTGACCCCCAGGACCAGGATGGCAAAGGATGAAGAGGACCGGAACTGACCAGCCAGCTGTCCCTCTTGCCTAAAGACTTAAACCAATGCCCTAGTGAGGGGGCATTGGGCATTAAGCCTTGACCTTTGCTATGCTCATGCTGTGACTCTATGAGTACTTTCCTATAAGTCTTTGTGTTCACCTGCTAGCAAACTGGAGTGTTTCCCTCCCCAAGGGGGTGTCAGTCTTTGTTGACTGACTCTGTCATCACCCTTACGATGTCTTGAATGGAAGGATCCCTTTGGGAACTTCTCAGGAGGGGGACCTGGGCCAGGGGCTTGACCAGCATCCTGCTGGCAACTCCAAGGCCCTGGGTGGGCTTCTGGAATGAGCATGCTACTGAATCACCAAAGGCATGTCCCACCTCTCTGGAGATCTTTCTGTCCTTTTCTGGGGAATGGGGTCGATGGGAGCAACCTCCTAGGGTTGTTGTGAGAATTAAATGAGATAAAAGAGGCCTCAGGCAGGATCTGGCATAGAGGAGGTGATCAGCAAATGTTTGTTGAAAAGGTTTGGCAGGTCAGTCCCTTCCCACCCCTCTTGCTTGTCTTACTCGTCTTATTTATTCTCCAACAGCACTCCAGGCAGCCCTTGTCCACGGGCTCTCCTTGCATCAGGTAGGGGCTTTGCAGAGACCATCGACGGGCTGACTTGAGTAAGAACACGAATTATGCATGTGGCCATTTCCAGAGCACTTTCTATGTGACATGAACATGTGATTTTTATGTAATATGTGTATGTAAATGAGGCAGCCTCATTTCCAGGTGAGGATGAATTTGTTAGTGTTGATTTGTGTAATTTAAAAAAGCTGAAAGGAAGAGAGGACCCGTGAGGACTGAACTCCCTGTCCCGTGGGGCAGGACTTACATTTACATTAAAGAAACTGAAACTTGGGGGGAGGTGTAAGTATTTGGTCACATAGCTGGCAAGAGAAGGGGTTGGAGTTGGACCCAGGGTGCCACGCTAGCTGCCCTCACCCCTGTTTCCCCTCTGGCCCAGCATTATACTAAGAGTCCTTTTATTTCAAACCAAATGTTTGACAATGGGACAGACTGTTTGAAATCCCAGCTGCCTGGGGTGGTCTTGGGGGTCGGGGTGGCCCCAGTGCTGGTACCCTGTGCTGACTTCACCTTTTAATAATGATATGACCTTAAACAAGTCGCTTAACTTCTCTAAGTTTCAGTTTCTTTCATGGTCTAAATGGAGATTAAAACACACACACACACACTCACACACACACACACACACACACACACACACACACACACCCTCGTGTATCTACCCCACAGGGCGCTTTTGAAGACCAAATGCTGTAACTACTATGAAAGTGCTTTGTAAATTGCTGTGGAAATTGCAAGCTACTTAACCACCCGAGGCTGTCCCTCCTCGCTCACATGTCCAGCCCTATTCTCCCTTAGTGAGAACAGCACCGAGTAGGTGCTGTGTGTGTTTGTGTTCAATTAAGAAATTCCAGAATAAATAAAAATGAATTAATTCAACAAACATTTTCTGGAGCACCGACAATCTGCCCAGTGCACCAGGCTAGGTATCTGGTACAAAGATAATGAAAACAGTCTCTTGGAACCTAATTGGGGTCCTCATTTGATCAGGACTTTCTTTCGTCCTCTTTTAAGCCAACCAGTTTTGTCCGGACAAGACAAAACCAACTTGGGCTGCTTTAGAGAAGCCCAGCTCGGTGTAGACAATAGCTGCCCAGCCTCTGAAAGGGACTGATTGGATTATGTGGCAAATGGAGGTGCAAGGATGACTTGGACGGTGACAAACGAAGTGGGCGGAGACCTGCTTTGAGTTAATCCAGGCTATTAGGAGGGGACCTTTTGTCTTCCAGAGACTGGCAGCTTTTACCAGTGGTTTTTACATCCTTAATGTTCAGGACGAATAATTTATGGTCAGTGAAAATCCGGGCCCCAGTGAGATTCGAGTGGGCTGTAAAATCGGGAGTCCTGCTCCCAGTGAGTAATGGTAGTGGATGTTTCTGTCACTTTTTGCAACCGTCCATTCATTTGATCCTCACAACTCCCTGTCCTGAGTCAGGGCCGGCCACTGCCACTCCCAGGGAAACAGAGGCTGTCAAGAGGCTCTGTAGTTTAGGCCCCACTGGATCATTGAACTCCTGTTCCCTGAGTTCTAGAGGAAGAATTGTACCTGTCTCAGTCCCGGCCTCCTTCAGAAGGCCTCCCTCTGCATTTCTGACTTTGCTCTGCCTGCAGCCTGGAGCCTCCCAGGTCCCTGCTGTCATCTTTTCTAGCCACTACAGCCTCTGTCTTTCCTTTCACAGCCAAGCTTCTTGAAAGGCCTGTCTACACTTGCTGTCTTCCTTCCTCACCTCCAATTTCCTCTTCAACCCACTGCTTCCTGACTCGCTCTACTCCGTGGAAGGGCTCTCACAAAGGTAAAGATTTTTCTGTAGCTTAATCCTTGTCATGTTTTCAGCTCATGGACACGACGACACATTTTCATGCCTTCTCTCACAGGGCTCTGCGGCCCCGGTTCACTTCTGTGTCCTTACACTCCCCTTCACAGAGACACCTGCTCCCCCTTCTCTCGTTCTTAGCGTCCCCTAGGAACTTGCATACCCAGGTCTCTCGACTTCTGGACCTGCTTCTTACCATGCTGTCTTAAGCAGTCAGGAGTCGCTGACCTGGGTTTGAGTCCTAGTTAAATTACTTAGTGCTGAGACCTTGGGGTAGGTAAACTTTTCCAAGCCAGGTTTATCTCAGTTTCAAAATAGGGTTAATCATCTTTATCTGGCAGGTCAGGTGGGATGTCTCACAGGTAAGCACCAGATGCTATTTGAAGGGCTTGAAGCAAAGTCAATAAAGCATTCATGAGAAAAATACAACTGGAGGCACCACTAGATTTTCGTATACATTAGGTTCCCATGGGGAGGACTAAAGAGAAGAAAGAAGTGGAAAGGGAGGGCGTGGAGGAGAGACAGGAGAAGAGAATAACTAAACAAAGGCATTAAAGACAAAAAACAAGTAGGAAAGGGAGACTTGGAAAATATTAAAAGCCAAAAACACATCCAAAGACGGTTTCCCCTTAACGTTAGGTTGGGCTAAAAGAAAGCAAACGGGAAGAAGGTTTTAAATTGATTATCCCAATGACAAATCCCAGGAAGCTTTCACATCAAATCATCCTAGTTTGGGTTTTTAACTCCTTCCATTGAGCTTAACCTCTTTACCTCCCACATCCTGGTAAAACCTGCCCCCTCCCCACCGCCCCCTTCGCTGGTGATTAAATCCTGAAGGTACACCAAGTATTTCAGTGAATGAATGGCTAACAGAAGAGGGCCTCCCCTCCCCCTTACCCTGGCGGTGTTTTTCAGTTTTATTCCACTTTCCGTCCTTTTCCCTTAATGAACACAGGGCTAATCTTGGGCCTTGTCGAAGGAAGAGGCTGCAGACGTTAATGAGGTTAGCTGCTGGATTCCAATATTCGTCGCATAAGGAGCCTTCTTTGTCTGCGAAGGAAAAACACACTGATTATCATAATGAGGTGAACTGGCCACTGCCGGGCCGGGGCGATGTGGCTTCTTAAGCCACACTTCTAATTTTGGTGATGGAGTCGACGTTTCTTTTGCTCCTCATTTAAGTCTTTGCCTCTGACCCAGCACGAAGTCCATTCAGTGGGGTTGAAAGTTGCAGGCAGCTTTGAGAAGGGGGGCTTTGGACAGGGTTGCATTGTAGAAAATGGCTTTGTTCGATCCTTTGCGCAGATGGAACTGGCCAGAGCATTCATTCCCTCTCTCCAAGAGCTGAGGACCAGGGGGACCACTGGTGATCAGTTCCCTACTCTAGCTCTCCTCTGACTTGTCTGAGGACCCACTGAGGACATCCAAAACTCACTCAAGATTAACAAGTGATAGGGAAGTAGTAACTCCTAGGCGTGGCCCTAGGGGAGTGACTGCAAAGTGAGTACCCATGGAATGCCTAGCCAGGTGAAGAAGTGAATGTATGTTGGCATCCCAGAGGGCCCCCCATAAGAGGGCATAGTTTGGGGTTCAGATTTGACTCCAGCAGACTGTTGAAACTGGGGCACAGTGGCTATTGATTGGTCAGGATCAATCAGTGGAGAGGAGATTAAAACTCACATCTGGGAATGTAGCATCAGAACTTGTAGTTCTTTTTTTTTTTTTTTGAAACGGAGTCTCTGTCGCCCAGGCTGGAGTGCAGTGGCGTGATCTCAGCTCACTGCAACCTCTGCCTCCCAGGTTCAAGCAATTCTCCCACCTCAGCCTCCTGAGTAGCTGAGATTACAGGCACCCACCACCACAGCTGGCTACTGTTTGTATTTTTAGTAGAGACGGGGCTTCACCTTGTTGGTCAGGCTGGTCTCGAACTCCTGACCTCGTGATCCACCCGCCTCGGCCTCCCAAAGTGCTGGGATTACAGGTGTGAACCACCGCGCCCGGCCTGTAGTAGTTCTTTTGCCCCTTAATATCCTCACCCACATGTCCTGTACCCTAACTGAGCCCTCATCCTCTTTTCTGATCTTTGAGCTCCCTAGAGCCCATAATTCTTTAGAGCAGGTATGTCCTGAGTCTGAAACATGCCCTTATTTGTCCCAAGCTCTGGACATTTCTCACCCCAAGGCAGATCAGTCATGATTAGATCACTCCAATTAACCTTAGGCTCCAGTTGGACCTTTAGCCAAATGGGAAAAAACTAGGGGATAAGGGGGGTAGTTGGAGCAAGAAAATGTTATTAGTTGAAACCTTATGGGGCCTTCCTTGATGAGTCTGTTGGCTAACGGTTCTCTGACATCGTGAATTAGAATTGGATACTGTTTCCAAGTTAGCAAAACCAACTCTACCCCAGTGCCCTATGAGAAAGAACGTGGAAGGATCTTCCATTGGCAGGTTGGGGCAAAAGCCTGAGGCAATCTCTTTCATCCCCTTTTGCCAAGGTGAGACTTTCCCAGTGATGTAGTTGGCCACTCTGTCTAGGGGAGTGTTGAGACTACGGGTGGACTGGGGTATAGACCTCTGAAGCTGAGATCACACGAAAACCTGGCCTCCCTGCCATGTAGCTGTTGGCGAGTAGAAAAATAGAGCACGCCTGATTCTAAATGAGAAGACTTTCTTCGATAGTAACGAAGAATCGATGGCACTCTCCTCACCCTCAGATACATGGCAATCATTAACACACAGGCCCCAAAGCCACTGTTAGTACTACAGTAGCTCCTGTGGACAGTCAAAAGCCTGGAGAGGGCGTGGAAGAAATCAGTTAGCCCCGGGCAGGTTCTCTGGGGTTTTGTGCCCAAAGCTCCTGTAGCCTTAACAAACTTTGAAAAGTTAACTCCCCACGTCCCCATCCTGCTTGGGTTTCTGGACTTTTCTGAGGCGCTGGCAGAGGGATCTCATGGCTTCCTTGAGTGTAGGGGCAGCCCCTTTAACCTGGCTCCTTGAGTCACTGCTTTTTCTGCTTCTGTTGCCTTCTTCCTCGCCTGTCCTCTCTCTCAATGTCTCCCTCTCTTTGTCCCTCCCCAATCCCTGACCTGGCCCTCCTGTGGTGCCCTTGGCCAGCCCCGTGCTTCCTCAGGGTGTCCCAGCACCAGCCTGGCACAGAGTGGGGCTCTGTTAGAGTATGTGGGATGTAGGGTTTTGCCAGGTGAGTGGATGGAAGGACTCGACCACCACAGCTGAGCCACCAGGTGGGCCACGCGAAGAGTTCTAGGTGCAAAGGCTGGAGGGTGGAATTCATTTTTGAGAAGGGTGTGAGCAGTTTCTGACCCTGGCCCCACTTGAACGGGGGCCTTGCTGGTTGCGTCCTTGCATTCACCTGCGCGGCCATCCATCATCCAACAGTTGATCCTAACTGAGCACATCCACAGCCCTGGCTCTGGCCTGGGCACCTGCCACCGTAGCCCATCCCTTGATGGCCTCTGTGTCCCCAGGAGGGCGGGCCGGGGGGTTGCCCCAGGGGCTGGAGCAGTGGACTCCGGCTCCATAGAGGTCAGGCTGGAGGGTGTGAGGGCAGATTCAAGCTATCCCCAGGGCTCTGCTCTGGTCGGAGCCAGCACCTTCTCCCTCTCTGCCTTCCCTGCCCCATCCCTGATGCTGAGCTGTTCTGGACCCCTGGCCCTGAGTCTCTCAGGACCAAAGTGGGCATGGGAACAGCTGTAGTGTGTGCCCCCGGGCTTTGGCCACAGGTCTCCCTCTCGAGGTGTGGTTGTGACTGCGACCCTTCCCTTGCCATGATGCCTTCCTCCCCCGGGGCTTGGTCCAGCTCCTTAACCCTCTAGCAGCTGCTGGGGCCCGTGTCCCATGCAGAGGACCAGCAGGGGAAACCTCCAGGGAGCATCTGCAGGCTCTGCCTCTGCCCAGCTGCTGACTTGGCTCTCCCTGGTGGCTCTCCAACGGCCAGGTTCCTCACCCACCCGGCGCTCCGCTTGCTCTGTCTCCTGAGGTGGGCCTGACCCACCTCCCCTTCTCTGCCTCAATCCCTGGGCTCCGGGGCTCAGCTTCACAGCCCTCGGCCTAGCAGTCTGGTTCTCCCTGCCAACCCCATACCTGTGGTCACCTGGCCCTCCTGAGGTCTGAGTATCACTGCCCTGACCCAGGAGCCACTCCCACTCCAGCTGCCTGTTTCCAGCAGGTTCCCAGTGCCCCCGACAAGCCCCGGCTGGTGTCTCCATCTCCTGCCAAGCATCCTCCAATGCCGCCTCCTGTGGGCCTGGCCTCAGGGCTATGGACAGACGCCTCTCCCTTCCCAGAGACCCCTCGTGATCGTGCCCTGGTGGGTGTTGCCCCTGCCTGCCCTTGTCTTCGCCATGGCCCTGAGAGTCCTGGGTTCTGCCCTGCCTGGTCCCTTGCTCCCCACTTGGTTCTGGGTTTGGAGCTGCCTCTAACCCAGCCCGTTGCTTCTTTGCACCTTTTCCTATCATTGGGCATCCCCCACTAGTCACCCCACTCCACTGAAAAGCAAAAAACTGCAGGTGAGGCCAAGCCCCGTGTCTTTCTTGGGCGTGTTTGGCTTTTCCGGGATGCTTGCCTTGCCGTGATTCTAACTCTCTGCCCTTCCCCAAGGCACGTGGGCCGTGGCCTGCCTGGGTCAGCTGAAGAACTGCTGATGGACGCCGCGGAAGAGGCCCCGATGGGGCCCACCACCCTGGACCCAAGTCTTCTTCCTGGCGGACCTCTCGTCTCCTTCGTGGTTTGGGGTGAGTTTCTTGCTTTCTTGAGACACCAGGATTTTATTAGCTCAGCTCATGTCTCTCCTCTCTGATCAAGAGTGTCAGCATTTAATCTGGGGAGGAGGCACCCTGCCAAGGTGAATCCTCTTCACATCAGCCCGAGGGGTCTGGGGGCCGGAGAGCTGCCCGGAGTGGAGACCCTTGCTATACCCAGCAAGCAGGTGTGGGGGTCCAGCCTGGCTGATGGATGCTGTGGGCCGGCGATGGTAAGTGGGGAGTGTCCACCTCCATTCTAGACCCCCGAGAACGGCTCGGGCCAGACACACAGGAACCCTCAGTACGGTTTTGCTGAACACACTGTCAGAAGGGATCCAGGGGGCACTTGCCCCGCCCACACCCGGCCCAAGGACCCATTGAGAGGGGAGGAAATGGGAATGCTTGCCTGCTCCTCAGCCAGGAAGACATTTCTCTCCACCAGCCGTGGTAGCGTCCTGCTCTGTGAGAACCGTGGTTTCTCACACATGAGGCTTTGATGATGTCCTTTAATCAAATAGTGGTTTTTAAGCAAGTTCTTCTCTTTCCTCCTTTCCTCACCCCTGACATTGCAATGAGATGGGAATGTTTTTGTTTGTTTAAATAAAATCAGCAATGGTAGAGAAGAAGAAAGCAGGGGATTGGAGCCACACAATTCTCGAGGACTCATCATTTGTTTATTTGTGTTTTACTAATTCAAGATGCATCCGGGAGCCGCCCAGGGCTCGGGCTTGGGGTTATTCTGGGGTGCCTAAGGTTGGGCTTTGCACTAAGGACCAGAGGGTCTAGTTGGGTACCCTGGGAGCACCCATGCAGCAAGGTGGCTTGCACGGCAACCAAGCAAGGTGTCGTGGAGGGCAGGGGGCTCAGGGTTGCGTGTTGGACGGCCACGCCAGGGTGAAGGCTGGGCCGGCAGGAGGAGAGGAGGCTCAGCTCAGCTCAGGCCACTTTCCTTTCTGCTTCCCAGGGACTGATCCTGTGGCTCACTCAGGGCGATGGGGTGTTTTTAGAGCCGCCCTGGGAGGCAGTGTCAGGATCCTGGCATCCCTCATATCTGACGCCCCTGGGGTGGCCATTAGGGTGAATGAGTGCAGTTAGACTTCCAGAGAATCTGGGTGGGCGCTGAGAAAGTTCTGAACCATGGGGTGAGGCTGGCTCCATTCCCCTAGACATTTATGGAGCCTTGAGGGGGCCCTAGCACTGTCCTTGGCCCAGATGCCAATACTCCTCACTGGAGACCCACACATGGGGTCTCTGAGAAGGAAGTGGATGAACAGAGCTGCCCACCGAGTGGGGCCCAGCCTCTAGTCCTCAGCCGTGTGCGTGCATTAGCCGGTGTGCAGTTCCCCGCCCCCCGTTCCCCGCCCTCTACCCCCCCACCCCCACCGCCACCCCCACCCCCAGAGTATCTCTGGTTTCCAGCGCAGCCTCTGTAATGCTCTTTAATCAAACAGAGGATTTGGAGACAGCTCTTCTGCAGCCCTGCCCTTCTCCCCTGAAATTGAAATGGGATGGGGATATTATTTTTAAACAAAATCTGGCAGCGTAGGCAGAGGGGGCAGAGGCGCTCTAACCTGGGGCTGTTGCCTTTGTCTGCTTGTTTCTGCTCTCTGGAGAGCCCCACAGCCTGGAGAGATGGGGGGAGTGTGTGCCCAGGGCTAAACCCAGGGAGGGGGCCCAGGAAGGCTCTGCCCTGTGACATTTACTCCAAGGCTAGCATTTGCTGAGCCACCTGCAAACACAGTGATGTAGAGAAGAGGCCTGGGAGGGGAGGTTTGCACAGGGGCAGGATGCTGGGGTCCTGGGGGCATCGTGTCCCAAGCTTACTAGAATGCATTTGAGTAGCTGGTCTGAGCCAGATGCCATCAGCTCCTGGACTGGTTTCTCAGGGACATCTCAGGACTTTCCCAAGGTGGACTAAGCCCAGGGGCAAAGTCAAAGTGAAGGCCAGGGGCACACAGGTGAGGCCCAGACAGGATCAAGCTTTGGCAGCCCCTGGCTCTCAGGGGTTGAAATGGAACCCTCTTTGCACTGAGTTCTGTTTCAGGTGCTCATGAGTATTTCAGTCTCAGGCAAACATGTATTTGGGGTTTTGTGTGTCACTAGGTAGAAAATAGGTAAAAATATACCATGTTCTCAATTCAAGAAGTTGAAAAGTCACTTACTACGTCAGCCTTGCTGATGATCTTCTCGGGAACTGTTGAAAGGCCATTATTATTATTTTTTGAGACGGAATCTTGCTCTGTCGCCCAGGCTGGAGTGCAGTGGCGCAATCTTGGCTCACTGCAAGCTCCGCCTCCTGGGTTCACGCCATTCTCCTGCCTCAGCCTCCCGAGTAGCTGGGACTACAGGCGCCCGCCACCACGCCCGGCTAATTTTTGTATTTTTTTTTAGTAGAGACAAGGTTTCACCGTGTTAGCCAGGATGGTCTCGATCTCCTGACCTCGTGATCCGCCCGTCTTGGCCTCCCAAAGTGCTGGGATTACAGGCTTGAGCCACCGCGCCCGGCCTGAAAGGCCATTATTAAGTGCTGAAAGATATGATCATTTTCAGGAAAATTCTATTTTGATGGATTGGCCAATGCCTGAGCCATAGTGAGTGGAGATGAGACCCCGTCTGACCAGGCAGTGAGCCATAGAGGACCTGTCACGTCGGCGGAGGGCAGTGAGGGGTCTCTGGCCATTTGTCATCGTGCTGAGTGGTTCCTGGGTCCGCCTCTAGTGGGACTCTTCTGGGTGGGTGCAAGTGTCTGGGTAAAGATGGTGGTCTGGTCTGGAAACTGGCTCTCCTCTCGCACCTGCCCACTCTGGGTGGCTGGGAAAGGAAACCAAGAGGGTAGCTCAGGCCTGAGCTCGTGGAAAGGAAGAAAACGCCCCCACATTCCCTCACCTGCGAGTTGCTCATTGCTGCTTCCAGGCCCCTGACCTCATGCCTCCTGCGTTGTGATTCAAGCCCCAAATGTATTTCCAAGTACGTTTCTCCAAATAATGTCAAAACCTGGCAAGACTTAAGGGCAACAGGATGCATGTGTTTCTTATTCTTTCATTTACATGAAATAACTTAAATGTGTTTTTTATGAGCAATCTGACTTCCAGAAAGAATGAAAAGGAATATCTACCCATCTTTAATGAGCTTGCTAATGAATTATTCCTTGCAAAGAAGAAGGGAGCTTTCCACAGAAGGGGGTGTGGAAGGAGACAGATTCAGGTCCCAAAGGGTTAAAGGGCAGTGGACAATGTGGAAGCCAGCATTGTGAGCTGCAGTGGGAAAGCCCTGGGTTGCTGGGAGCGGCTTCTTTTTAGGAGACTGGAATTAATAAGTTGTGAATTGTCCCCTAGGACTGGTTCCCCCTCCCGGCTGTTTCTCTGAGCCCTGTCCCCTCTTCCCAAGGAGGAATAAGGAAGTCTAGCCTGGTCTCCCATCCCCGATTTGAGCGGATGGAAACGTCTAGAAAAGAGGTGTACCTTTCGAAACGAGGCCTCTCAAGTGTGGGGTTCCTGGTCTGGAAAGGAGAAGGATGAGTCTGCGGTAGGAGGGGGTCTTGTATGGAGCCCATTCAGAAAGGGCGGTCCCACACCTGGGCTGCCCACAGCTTCTTGGGGGAGGCTAAGGAAAGAGGAGCCACAGAACAGGCTTGCCTCCTTGGCATGGATGGGTCAGTGTTTCAGAGCCAGGAACGGTGGGAGTGCAGAGAGCCCCTCCCCTCCCACCTTCCCTCCCAGGGGCCCTGCAGGCACCGCAGCAGGACGGCACATTGCCAGAACAGGGGTCCCAGCTCCAGCCAGATCCAGTGGACATGGAGAGACCCCTTATCTGTGCCAAGACGGGCTCTGCGGTGCCTGAGAGGCCCGTAGATCTGGAATTCCTAGGGCCTTCTGGGTTTGAGTCAGGTCCTGAGGCCAGGGCCTGGGCCCCAATCCTCACCGTGGAAAACTGTGGTCACTTTACTCAGGACAAACTGTGATGAGGACTTGGGACATATCTCTGTCTGTCCTCTCAGCTCCCGTCACCCCCGAGCCCCTGGCGATCGTGGGTGGCCCGTGTACAGAGCAGGTGCTGGGTTGCTGGGGCCACCGTGGGCCTCCCGACATGAGGGACTGTGTGTGAGAGAGGAGTTCATTAAGGGAGAGGATGGTGGTGGAGGGTGTAGCCATGACTTTCTTAATTGCTCTCCAATTTCTTTGAGCTTAAAAATAAATCCAGATGGAGAGTTCTTAAGTCCCCTGCCCTGGGAGAAAGGAAGGCTGCCCACCACCTTCGGCTTGCCTCTACTCTGAGCAGTGAATAGGGTCTTTGGCAGGGGCTTAAGGAGGAGACTCTTAGCCTGGGAGCTCCCAGGGCCGTTTCAGATGGAAACAAAGGCTCGGGCCGAGAGGAATGTGGGGGAGCCCCCCGTGGGGAACAGCCACCTGGGGATCCTTGGGAGGACTGAGCGTAGATGAGTTTTCCCAGGTCCTGTGAATGCGCCTTTTCAATGGAAGGTGCCTTTTCTTCAGATGAAAAGAAGAAAACGTCAATTACCTTCCCCTGAAACGGAGTGTGTGTGTGTTCCCTCCCAGGGCTTGCGTGGGGCCCCTTGCCCTTGTGTGTGTGTCAGGAGCTCCAAGGCTGCACAATGATGCACTTAACCAGCCACCGGGTTCGCGCGACCCTGGGATGCTCACGCGCTCAGATTCTAGGGATTGCTTTTGAAAGTTTCTTAGCAAAGGGGAATCAGAGTGGTTGTGCCTGTAAACAAAAATTTGATCAACTGGGGCCTGATGCCCGACATATAGCCAAAGAGACAGAATGGGGCTGCGGGGAGAGAGGTCCGGGATGGAAAGTTGGGGAAGGAGGACAGTTGGGGGCCAAAGGTTGACCGCGTGTCTGCTCCAGCCTCCTCGCTCACAGCTGGGCTGTTCCTTCCGCCACTCCAGCCCTTACTCTGGACCCTCCTGGGAGTGGACACAGAATGATTCTGTACTCAGGAAGTTGGGGGTAGGGGGCTCAGAAATCCACAGGGCTGCTGTTTCATGGTTAGGGAGGAGAGGAGGGGGTCATCACGGCCCGCAGGGTTGGTGGGCAGCTGCGAGAGAGGGGACCCTTTGGGTTAGAGCGAAACTGTTTGCACCACCACTGCCCCAGACTGCCGTAAGGGTGAGGCCACTCCGGAGGCACCAGGGGCAAAGTCCCTGCCATGACAGGAGTGGGGCCCGGTCTCGGTCTTGGCTGGTCACTGACTTTGCTGCTGCTGGCTTCCGAGCCTCATTTGTTAAACTGGGTACTAGCCTGTCAGTTCTCCATATTCTCCAAGTCAGAAGGAGCCTGGGAGGTCAGTGCTGGAAAGCAAGGCCCCTGTTTCACCAGAGTGGGTCTCCACTCACCTCCTGGCTGGTCACACTGTCGCTACTCGGGACTTGCCAGGTGGACAGAGGAGAGAGTTCTCAGCTCTCTCCCGCAACTCGGGAGCAGTCTTCCAGACACCTGGTTACAGCCTGTGCTCAGCCCTGACTGTGGGTGTGACCTTGGCCTCTGTCTCCAGTCCCCTAGGCCTCAGTTTTCCCATCTACAAAATGGGCGAGTACAGACCCGTGGTCGTCCAAGTGGCCTTGGCGCTCCTGCAGTCTCGGGGTTTCTTCGGGCCTCCCTGGAGGTCATTTGTGGTTTGTTTGCTGGGTCTTTGGAGTTGTTGGGACTTTGGGGGTCACTGGTCCACTGCCCCCTCTGCTTTAGAGATGGGGAAACCAGAGATCCCAGAGACCCAGAGCCTTGCCCAAGGTTGCACAGTGAGCTGGCAGCAGGCCCTGGAGGTGAAACCCCTGCCAGTTGCCAGCTCCTGCGTGACCTGTGTGGTCAGGGGGTCACAGTCACCGGTCATTAGTGTGAGTCAGAGCCTGAAGAAGGTTCCCAGGGGCTGCCGCATGAGCTGGGGTGCAGGGATCCTGTTTTAGGGGGTATTATTCCAAACAGGAAGGCTACTGGGCTGGTCTGGAACACCTTTTTGGTCTGTAGAGTGACTCTTGTGTAATGAGACTGGACTTGTGGCTTCAGAAGCAGGAGATGTTCGTTCCCCCCACCCCCGTGGCTCACCTTGTGCCTTTTGGGTCCTGAGACCCTCGCCAACGCCTCTGTTGGCACGATGGCCCAGTCAGCTGAGAACTTCCTGAAAAAGCCAACAGGATGACAACTTCTGGAAAAGTGATCATCACCCGCCTGCACTGGCTGCCCATCTTAGACTCAGCTTTGCAAACATTTCCAGCTATCTCTTTGTGCTGCCGTGTGTGGTAATGAACAGCTCACAAAACCTCGGGTCGGGCCTGCACCTGGTTATTACCATGGTGGGCTGCAGCTTTTGTTTTGTGACCTTGGTTGCTACAATACCTGCGAGCTGAAATGAGGAATCGAAAAATTGCCAGCTTCAATTAGACGGGCAGACTGCTTTCCCAAGGCTGCCTCCGCCACTCCAGCCATTAACGGTAAACAGGCACCAAAGAGGCCCTAATTCTCTCTAATTGCCCACTCCTGAAGCAAAGAGGTGAAATTCCAGGAAGAGGCATATGTAAACATCCTCTGTAACCTGACCAAGTAAAATTAGAGGGCTGATGGGGGCCTGCAAGAGAGAGAGGGGACATGATTTCAAAAGATGTCCCAATTACCTCTCCTGTTTTTATAAATGGGTCCGTAATGTCCGGGGCCCCAGCCTCACAAAGGTACAGGAAATTAGCTCTGCGAAGAGCTTGCATTTGTCCGGGGAAGTTGTAAGGAGGTGGTATTTACTCAACAGGTAGGAATTATGAGATCTGAGGCAAGACTGATTATTTGTTAACGACAGGCTCTATTTCTTGAGATCAACATTTTAATAAAAATCATCCTTTTAGGTCTTTTTCTGTTTGAAACAGCCATAAGTTATTTATAACAAAGACATGCCAGATCAATTAGGTGCTGTTTGCCTTCAGAAAAGAGTAACTTTTAAAATCCTAAGATGCAGAACTGGAGTTTTCTAATCCCGTTAAGCTGTGGAGGATGGTTTTGGAGTGTTCACCAACGCTTTCTGCGTGGGTCATGAGCTCACTGCACGCACTTATGAGGTCTTTGATCAAATGCTTGTGGCAATTACTCCTGGACTCTATAAGGAGGCCTCGTGTTTTTCTTTGGTTCCAGACAGTGACTCATCTCTGCAGCTTTTCTGACATTTGTTAAGATTCTAGCCCAGCACTGCGTTATTAACACATCACGGCAAGCCCAGAGCTGGCACACGCAGCTTTTAAACCAAGGCACGAATTTGTCGGGACTTCACTGTAGCAGAGAAGCCCGGGGTCTGCACACAGAGTTAATTAAGGACAGTCAGGGACTCTGAGGGTTCATGGGGTCCCTGGAGCAGAAGCTGGAAAAAACCCAGATGCTCCTTCCTGCTTCTGATTTCCCCGCTCCTATTAAAAACACAAAAAAGAACAAAGCAAAAACAGCCAAACAAAGCGCTGGGCTCTGATTCCTGCGGGAAATGGCAGTGCCTTTGGTCTCGCTGTGTGTTCTTGGCCTGAGTCTCGTTGCCACCTTAAGACGTGGTGATGGTGAGAGGCCACCCCAGCCACGCGCAGTCTCAGAGGGAGGGTGGGAAACGGTCTCGAGTGGTGGTCAGTAGATAATGGGTGGTCTGGCAGCCTTTAGGTAACCGAAGCCTGCCCCTCAGTCACCCATGCACTGATCGCTGCTTCCCTAACACTTATTTTAAGACTTCTTGTTTCTTGGTTATCAAATTAACCAGTTATGGCAAAACAGGGTTTATGAAGGGCAAGGCCAGGGAAGTAGAGTTTAGGAGGATTTGGAGGCAAGAAGTGTCCCCATTGCCCTGGCTGGGTCTTGGACATCCTGGCTGGAGACATGACTGACTGGGAATAGAGAGGCAGAGGCAGCAGGGGTGGCCCAGATGGCAGGGGTGGGTTGGAAAGATCGCTGAGAGGCCTGGGGACAGGTGGTCTTGGGAGTCCCTAAAGACCTGCAGTGGGGCAGGCAGCTGGGGTCAGGTATCTCCCGAAACCGTTTATTTGTTTGTTTGTTTGTTTTGAGACAGAGTCGTGCTCTGTCATCTAGGCTAGAGGGTAGTGGCGCAATCTTGCCTCACTGTAACCTCCGCCTCCTGCGTTCAAGCGATTCTCCTGTCTCAGCCTCCCGAGTAGCTGAGACTACAGGCACGCACCACCACACCCAGCTAGTTTTTAGTAGAGATGGGGTTTCACCATGTTGGTCAGGCTGATCTCGAACTCCTGACTTCAGGTGATCCACCCGCCTTGGCCTCCCAAAGCACTGGGATGACAGGCATGAGCCACCCCCCTGGGGCCGGGACCTGTGGTCTGTGGTTTCTGCCTTCCCCAGTTTCCCCACATCCCTCTCATGGCCTTTCTGTTTCCTAGGTGGCTTTGTGGTGGCGTCCCATGGTCTCCCCCTGGCTTCCTATCTCCACCTGTGCCTAACCCAGGAAACAGTCCCTATAGAGGGTGTTTTCAAACAGACCTTGGCCCTGTCCTCCTCCTGGCTCAACCCCTGGCTGCCCCATCACCCAGCTTGCTGCGCTGGTGGGATCTCAGCCATCTCAGGCTACCTTTCTATGACACCTCCTCACCTTAAGTAGACTCTGTGAACAGATTTTAAAAGCTGTTCATTCAACACATTTTTTAAATGAATAAACTGTTTTTTTTTTTTCTGTGTAGTTTTCAGTTTACAGAAACATTGGTGGGAAAGTAGAGAGAATTCGCAGACCCTGTCCCCACCATCTCGCCTCTCACTCACGCGTTGCCTCCGTGTGGTGCGGTCTGTTTGTTCCAATCGATGGAACAACTCTGATACATGATTAACTAAAGGCCTTGGTTCGCATCATTAGGGCTCACTCTGGCGCACATCCTGTGGGTCTGGACAAATGTGTCATGATACGTGTCTGACATTGCTGAAGTCAGCTTTTCTTGAAGCTTAAAAGTTTGGGAGTATTCTGAACCACGTTTGGCCCAGCCTGCTGCCCGATTAAAAAAGAAAAAACAAACAAACAAAAAAAACAAGTTAAAACGTAAGGCAAATCTTGACACTGAAGACTCAATGTGCCTGGCCATGGTGTTTCCCAGTACCTACCGCAATGTGAACAAAATTGCCGCAGTGGAGTTGTCTGTCCAAGCATACGACGTGTGTGCCATGATTTTGGGAAACCCTGCCCGTTAATAGCCCTGCAGCCCTCTGTGGGTTGCCCTCCCGGCTATACCCCGCTTCTCTGGTCTCCTCCAGGGCCTGCCATCCTGCTAACCAACCTGGGCACCTTGCTTCTTCCAGAGCACAGGTTCATGCCCTGTCTTCAGGGCCTGGATCACTCCCCTTTCTCATCTATGCAGTGCCCTAAGCCTTTGGGTCCCACAGAGCACAACTTAGGTCCATGGATGGCACCAACCCAAGTCTGTTCCATACTTCCACTCCTGCCCCTTCTGCTCCATTGGCAGCTGGTGGGCAAGGGGAGTGAGGAGAGAAATGCATGGCCTCTCCAATTCCACACTTGCTGGAGGTTGGGGAGTCCCTGCTCCAGGCCACCCCTGCCCCTTCCACCCCGAGCTGTTATCCTTATCCACCCTCTTCCTCCTCGCCAGCCTGAGTGAGGTTCCACTCTGTGACCTAATGCCTTCTCCTTACAGCCGAAGCCATCACCTGGATTCCTACGTGGGAATGGACCTCGGACGTGGGACCCCAGCCCCCCTCCAGCTCGAAATCGTAAGTGGCTGGAGCGTAAAGAGCACACACACGTGGCCTTGCTGCTGAGGATGGGGCCTGCCTTCTGGAGCACACTGCTAGGCGGACCGCGTGGAGGGGCTGGTGGGCGCTGGCCGGGGGGGTCTGTGCACGGGGAGGTGGGTGCCCATCGAGTCAAGCCAAGTGCAGACCTGGGGGCTCCTGTTTTCTAAGACAGGAACCCTCAGCCTCCTTGTGTTGTCTCTGTGGCAAAGGAATTCTATAGGCGGCTTCAAATGTCGGACCCTAAAAGAATTTCTTCTTTTTCACTCTTCTAAATGAATGGCTCTTTCATTATTGAGTCTCCCTTTGGCTCTTGTGCCGCAGGGCAGACTAGGATGGAAGTGCCCTGTGAGCTGAGGGGCCTTCAAAGGGCCAAGGAGAAAACGCAGGCCGAGGGACCAGCCTTCCAAATGGGCTTCGAGCTCCAATGACCTCCGCTCACCCCCTCGAAATGTCTGGAAAACATAATGGGCAGATTTTCTGTCTTCAAAGTTTCCGGCTAAACCTCTTCAAGTTCTTTATTGTTTGGGACTGAGACACTCAGCCATGGTAATGGGTAGTTTCTTTTGTATTTGCCTTGAAAGGCCAAAATATTTTTATATTGCCACAGACAAAGCCACCTATTTAAAAATGAACTCCATGTCCGTCGTTTCCCACCAGGAGACTATGTACCATGTGTGTGTCTCTATGTATTCTGGGGTCTTGAAACAGGTTTCTCATGGGGATGGTCATTCACCACGGTCCAGAGGGGCAGAACGGGGGGTGCTTGCCCTGCCCAGGGGGCCTGGGGAATGTGGGCCCTTATCTCAGATCTGCCCCCAGTATGTCTAGGACGTGAGCCCCAGAAGGATCTGGGAGTAAACTTAACATTCACTGTGTCTCTGCTCTGCATCCGCCATTGGTGTGTGTTTCCGGACTGTGGGCTGTGTGTACCTTGGTGGGTGACTCAGTGAGAAGAAGCAGGAATGCCAAAGAGACTGTGAATGTTCTGGGTTTTGTTGTTGTTGTCGAGAGGTTGTTTCACTGGTATCTATTGCATTACATAGTAAATGACTGGATGAATGAATGAGTGAAGAAGAGGGAATGGATAAACAAGTAAATAGGTAAAGAAGTAAGCAAGCCAGGAGGAGAGTGTGTGTACCCAAGACCATGGTTCATCCACTTTGATGCCTGGGCAATCAATATATAAATAGAAAAAACCCGTTGAATCACTAAGTGATAGGGCAACACACAAAGCAATATCAGGTGATTACGGACTAAGGGATATGTGTAATTCAAATATATGCCTCTGACATTTGACAATGAAAAAAGAACCTAAATAAAAGAAAGAATGGATGCTTGAGTAGTGAAGTGCAGAGTGACACATAGATTTGGAGGCCTGTCAAAATGAAAGGATGCAAGTTAGGGAACAAGTGATCAAAAGGGAGAAGGGAAGGATTTTTAAAAAAAACCAAAACAACAAATAAAAGATAGAAAGTTAAAAAAAAAAAAACCAAAACAAAACTAGAGGATGAGTAACTCTATAAGGAGGACCATGTCAGGCTATTGTAAGCTAAACATTAGGACTAATACAAATAGTATATGCTCCTGGCGTAGAAAAATAAAGAAACCACAGAGAAAGAGTTCAAAGAATAGCAAAGAAAGAAAGAGGATCCAGTGGGCGAAATATGAGAGTGTACTTTTACCAAAAGTTATCTAAGCCTGAGCACTTGAAGTCTGCACAGAAATAAATCAATGACAAAAGAAAGAAAAAAGCCAAAAAGTCTATATTGCATGTGTGGATGAACGAATGAGCAGTGAGAATGCAGTGCCAGGCGACACGGTGTCGTGAGGGGTTTTGAGTCATCCAGTCCTAGGCACTGAGGTCTGTTAGATGAAAGGATATGAGAAAGACAGTGTTGATAAATAAAGAAATAGGAAAAAATGTAACAAATGCTAAGTACAGAAATACATTAATGGGTGATAAATAAAGATGTAAAAGAAGGCAGTGTGATAGGTGGTGGCAAAAGATCAACACAATTAAGGGCTATGGCTGGTCCACTTCTAGAAAACCACAGGCTATCCATTAAATAATAAACATCTAAGTGAACAAGTCAGTGAGTATCTAAACAGACAAGGATGAGGCAAATGAGAAGACGTGGCCCCATGGGTCCTCCTGATGAGGGTGTTGGGGTCCCCCCTGGGCACCCCAGCTGCATGAGAATGAAGGACAGGAGGTATGGAAAGCTGTGACAGAAGAGAGAAAGGAACAGTAAAAAGAGATAACAGCCAAACGGATAAATGGGTAAATCCACGAGAAGAGTTAGGCTAGGACTTGTCATAAGGGCACCTGATTGTACTAATAGAGGAGTAAATGTCAAACAGAAAGAGAGAAAGCAGGAAAGAAGGATGCTATGAATGCAGGAAGGAAGGAATGAGTGAGACATGGAACCGCACGGCCGAGGATGGGCGTTTGCGGGTGGCTTTATGATGTGTACAGCCACTCCATGGCACTGAGCTCTGAAGACAGAGTGCAAGAGAGAACGAGTGAGAGAGTGAGAGAGAGAGACACAATAAAAAACGGGAAGAAATGTGAAAAGGGAGAAAGGAAGAGAGAGGTAACATATTAAGAAATAAATACATGCATGCAGATTTAAGACAGCCATGCTAGAACAGGAATGAAAGGCAGTGTGAACCAAGCAGGCCACTTACTTGGCATTATTGCTGCTGGTATAGTCTGCCACCTACTCAGCTAAGGAACGGCTCAAAGCATACACATGGGAGGGAGGAGTGGGGCCACAGAGAGAGGGCCCATTAGTTGCAGATTATGATGTATCCAGTTAGATGCACCTGCCGTCTAGAAGTGTAAAAATAAGTATTTACATAGAAAGAAAGACTGAATGGATGCATGGCGAATGCATGAATGAATGAATGACAGAAAAGATTCGCATTGACCGAGGAGGAGGGCGTTGTAGACAAGGGTGGGGGTCATTGATCCTGGGTGCAGCTCTCCAAAAGAATGACAGAAAGAAAGAGGGAGTGGTGGAAAGAAACAATAGGATGGGAAAAAATGAAAATGGAATAAAAGGAAGTGAAAGAGATAATAAATAAGTAGATGGAACAAGTTGATCAAAGGGGGCTGGTTTAGCACAAGCCATCCACATTAATTCAGATCTGTGGCTCTGAAGTTTGTTTTAAAAATTACCACAAGTGAAAGACTGAATGAAAGAATAGATGCGTGCATTCCATAGGAATGCAAGAAAAGGAGCAGGGAATGGAAAAATTGGAAGAATGAGAGAGGGAGAGATGTAAGAAAAGAAAAAACTGAAGTAGGCATATGAACGAAAAGGCACTTCCTGGACAAGCACTGAAATATAATGAGACAATTTTATCCATTAAATATAATAAATAGTAAACATTGAGGTTAATCAATAAAAGCACAAATACCTGAATAGAGGAGTGACTGTCTGAATGAATGAGAATGGATGATTTTCCCTATCCTCTGCACTCAAGGCCCAAAAGAATGAAAAGAGAAACCAAGAGAGGAGAGAATATGGAAACGTATGACAGGATGTGTATAAGCAATACAAACATATTGAATGAATAAATAAAGACATAAATATGTGGGAGAGTGGACCGTGCAAGGACAAAAACAGGAGAGAAGGCAGCAAGAATTATGACTAATTCAAAACTGGGTTCCTAAGATAGTTAAATAAATCCTGCACCAAATCCTCAGGGAGAGGAATTAACGAACAAAAGACAGCCCCACGCGGACCGGTGTGCAGAAGGCTCCGGGAACCGCAGATTATGGTTAATCCAATTCTGTGCACCTGAGGTCCATAAATAAAAGAACAAATATTGAAATGAAAGAATGACAGAAAGAATGAATGGACACATGAACGACTGAATTAGAAATGGAAATGCCTGGCACAGCCAGGAAGGAGATGCCCATGGGATTCTCATTCATCTCACTCTGGGCACCTGGGGTCCATAAGCGTGAAAAGAGGCAAGAAGAGAAGTGTCAGGGAGTCAAAGATAGAGATAAGGAAAGGCAAAAATGAAACTAAATGAAAGCGAAAGGGAAAATAAAGAAAAACCAATAAAAAAGAGAACGAATATGTGGGTGTATCTGTAAGAGCAGGATCTGTTAGGATTAGTCATAAGGCTGTCGGTAATCCTGAAGATGGATGAGATAATCCAGGCCCAGGTTCCCGGGGGAGGGAAACTGGAGAAAATATAAAAAGAAGTGAAAAAGGAAAAAGGAAAGGTAATAAACAAACAACCAAAGTGATAAATGGATAGTTAAGGGAGGTTGTCTGAACAGGGATTATAATTAGTTTACATACGTACTCCTTAAATAGATAAATACATTACACCTTTCAAAGAATAAATGAAAAATAGAGAGACATACCTGGCTCCAAAACAAGGCTGTATCTTCTGCCACTGTAATAAAATAGATGCAATTGAGGTTCATAAATAAAAGAATAAATACTTAAACATAAAAAGTGACTAAATGCGGGGAAGAAAGATTGCAAATAAATACATGGGCCAAAGATGTTTGTTTTGCCCGTGGGGTTTTAATTAACACAATTAATAAGGAAAACAAATACCCAAAATAAGAAAGACGGACAAATGAGTGAGTGGATGACAGAGTGAATGGTGCTTAATGAAGGAGCAGTAGTGCTTCAGAGACCAGCGTGAAGATGATGACCAGGAGCCCTGATTCATTTGATTCTGTGCTCCTGACTTTATAAGAACCAGAGGATGGCTGGGAATGGTGGCTCATGCCTGTAATCCCAGCACTCTGGGAGGCCGAGGTGGGTGGATCATGAGGTCAGGAGTTTGAGACCAGCCAGTTTAAGATCAGTCTGGTCAACGTGGTGAAATTCCGTCTCTACTAAAAAAATACAAAAATTACAGGCGTGGTGGCACGTGCCTGTAATCCCAGCTACTCGGGAGGCTGAGGGAGGAGAATTGCTTGAACCCGGGAACCTGGGAGG